CATTTCTCCTATTCTGTGTTCCTTTCTTAATAACAACTGAAAGGAAAAACGTACTATGGAGCACGATCTCTATCGATAAATCAGCCTAAATCACTGGGTTTAATGTAAATGGAAGACGAAAGACTAAAAGTTGGGCGATTTTTTCGAGTCTAATTCCAGGCTCTTACTGCACTACAAGCCAAAGGTTGATGAAACCTTGCTGGGATAGCAGTTCAAATAAATCAGTTGATTATGTTTATGTTTATTCTGTGATATGATGCTTTCTCCCATAGGTAAAGTGGCCGATGCAGAGTCCTGGGAATGGTTGCTTGATGCTCAGCTTGGTTGCCATTTCCCGTCTGCTCGACAATAGCTCACTCAGACAGCAGTCATATCATCATTGCGCAACTTTGTTTTCAACCCGAAAAGAGGCTTCTTGGTGAGGTGAAAACCCCCCTCCTCTTTGGAGCGCCATGACAGCCTGCAGAACGAACTTGCATGTTTTGCCTTCTCCTCCAACTTCATTAATTTCATCAGCTGCTTTTCGTACAGAAAGACGTCGAATAATGGGCGTACTAAAACGCGGGCTTCATTTGTATTGCTGGGCATGACCCGTTCTTCTTGACAAAGTAGAACATTAAAGGGACCAATTCCAGTGGTATTTTCGACTCTCAGTGGATTGGCATTGCGAGAACTGATTCCAGTTAGAATGGTTGAGCCGCGACTAAGATATTATAATAGCAACCTTTTATTGGGCTGACACTTCGGCCTTATGCCTTCGAGGGCCTGGAAACGCGAAGATAAGTTCGATTTACCCCTAAGCACCATTTTGGGTTTCAAGAAGAGTTTCCACTCCCTAGAATGGCCCACCAATCCAAGGAATTCTTGGTTCCATGGAAAAAAATCCTTGACAAATTTTCAAGTGATTATGTAGTATTGATTAGGTTATTAAATTAATTACCAAAGTATCTCAGATTTCCGCAATCAACTTCTTGCTCACATTGGTATCCCCAAAGCGGATTTGAAGTTCACAAGAATATTATAGCGTCATTATACGGTAGAAAAGAACGCTAAATGACGGGTGCTCGCAAAGTCATAAAGTGCTTAGGCATAAATTAGCTGGTGAGAATATGGACATTCCAAATTAGCGCTGCAGGAAACGAGCCTAATTTGACTTTCAGAAATGCAATAGGGTGACGTATTTAAGCAAACAGCTCTCCAAGGCGTAGGACACAGTGAACAGAATACATATTGATTGAAGGCCGCTATCATTTGCACTTGAGCGGAATCCTTGAGATTGCTATCATGGGAACTAAGGTTTGTCGAACGATCGCCTATCTCTCTTTAGGTAACCCCCCAAACCCTCTGAGTCTGCGCTTGCGTAGAGTACATACGATGTCATCTTTTTTGGCGCATGTGATGGCATCGCATGGGCCAAAAAAGGCTCATAACTTAATTACTAATAATACTTCGGTAAGACACTAATGATTGGCTTAGCAGTTGAAAAATAGCGGTAACAATGAATTCCTCCGAACATATTGGCCTTTTATGCCACATTCGTCAAAGTCCGATCCTGACAGGTGGCTCTGAAATTATTGTTCGGACTCTTGGTCGTTGACGTTTGTGAACATAAATTATTTGTGCTTCTCCAGGGGCGATCAGGTCCTGTGGTGCCCCGATTAGCCCTGGTGTCCTGTAATTTTATTTCACTAGTTTCATCTCCGTTTGTTGAAGGACGGGTTCTCATGGTCCTGCAAATATTTGTATTTATTTGAAAGCGATACCGACCTGGATGATATAATTTTATGACTATCTTTATTCCTACGACGACATTATTACAATCGATTTGAAATCCCTTCACTTTAACGTACTAATTTTTCAAGAGGTTACGAAGCTTAACACCACATCTGAGCAGCAAGTCGCATACCTGCCTTTGAGCCAGGGTGAAGTGTCCGATAGGACACCAGCAAGTGAGATCGTGGTGGTGGAAGTTGAAGGAGGCATGTTTATAAGGGAAGGGATTTTTTCGAGATTGAGGGAAGCC